CACATTAATTTGCGATGTAAAATTTTAAAAAGGTGTTAGTTAGTTAGTAAAGGGAAAATTATAAATTGGTAACTAAAATTGTTTTCGGTATGATTAAATTCCCTCCAGTGTCTATGAGCAACAGGGTCAAATAGCCCTTTTATTATTATTATTATTATTTAGCAGCATAACACCATTAGCTTTTTGCAGTGTTTCTTATTATACTTTTATATTATCTTCCTCCTCCTCCTCGCCTTTTAGATTCTTTTCTGTTCTAGGAATGTGTAGTCAATTCGTGGTATACACGCACACACACACACACACATCTCTCTTAGGCAAACGCATTTCTCTGCGCTGTTTATACGCATCCAAGTATACCTGTGTTGACACTTCTCCACTCTTTGCTATTCTGCTCCACAGTAGTCAAATGCATACACTTCTGCTACTAGTATTACTGATAGTGGTAATAGTAATTATCACTGTAGACTGTTGAAGTGTTGTATATACTAATTACTCTTGTAGTTTATTTCTCTCTCTCTGTCTCTCTGAGTTATGTTTCATTTGTGTTGAATGGATTTTCATTTATCTCCTCCATCTTATGTATGCAAAGGGAGGTATATATGTTATGGTAATTATATGCATATAGTCCTGACAAGTATGCTAAGTGTGTTGCTGTTGTTTGTCTTTCTTCTTCTTCTTTTTCCTCCTCTGAGGGTGGAATTTTGTTAAATTTAGATAAATGGTACTGTGAAGTTTAACTCCTCTTCTTCTTCTACTTCTTCTCTTTTTGAGTAAATCTTCACTGGCTTCAGAGTTGTTCTTGTTGTTGTAATTGTCTAATAGTTATTAGTTGTTACTCAGGTTGTTGGTTATGCAGGGATTTAATTGATTAGAGAATCATTAGAAAACCAGTAGTCAACATTTTCGTCAGCCTAGTTTTGGGACTCTTCAACAGGATGTATCCCACCACCATGGTTCGAACCCAAGAACCTTCTGGTCACAAGGTGGGCTCATAGACGATTAAGCCACCAGAGACCCAATACAATTTCCAGTGTATGAATTGCAACTTTTTCTAGCGTCATCACTAGCCATTGTCATCTGTGGCTAGTATTTATCCTCCCACTCGACCTGCTGTAGCCTGCTGGTTATAGTTACTTCTGTATCAGATATTGATTTTAAGTAGAAGTGCTCATTAAAAGATTACTTCTTATTTTTTGATGCACAGTATTTTAACTCTTAAAAGTTTATATGTGCAGATTATGCTTGCCCCCAGCCCACTCCATCCTGTAGAGATTCTCTGCTCACTGGTAATTATTACGAGTGAATTAAGTAGCCGAGAACATTAAGAGACGTCCTGTTTAGGACCTGTGAATCTACCTGGGGTATCTACAACCCCCAGTGAGTGATATTGTGTTCCTACTGAGAGTCAAACTCAATAAGAGAGTGTTACCCTTCTGTTTTTCCCGTTGATTCGTCATATCCAGCTTCTGTTGACATGCTAGCTCCTAATACAAGTACTAGGTTCGAGTCTCCCTTCTTGGAACATCATCACTCACTGGGGATTGCAGGTACATCTAGTTAACAAGTCCCGAATAGGACGAAATGCGGATTCTCAATTTCACAGATGTTCACCATCCATCATCAACAGTAACATTATATTAATCCCCAGACATCGACAAAGCGTCTTCCTTACATTTAGGTTCAATCATTTAACAGATAAAATAAAATTGGCTTAAACAAAACAAGGTTTTTTCTAAAAAAAAATTGTGTTTCATCTAAAATTCTATCACAGAAGTCAGTCACAATTGCTCTATTCAATTTATATACAATTAGACTTCTTGTAGAACTGATCTGATTCATACAAGTAATAATAATAATCATAGTGTCTCATTGTTTTTTCTCGGAACAACAGGTTGTTGCTGTTGTTGTGATTGCTACTGGCTTGGTTTGTGTTTTTCATCTTCACTAGAAAGACTCATGTTTCCACCCCCCACCTTCCTCTTCCCCTGTTTGACATTCTTTCAGTCATCGTCTTTTTTTTCCCTTCCTACTTTTGTCGAAACGACATCGTATCTGGCCTATTCTCTGACTTTGCCATATCTGTTTTATTTTCGACCTGTGTCTTTCTTACTTTCTTACTATATGCAAAAAGATTTCTACTTTGATTCCTCTTTTCTTTTCTTGCCTTTTCCTTCTAAAGTTAATTTTCGTCATGTACATTTGTCTGGTTTATTCTCCTTCCTCTGGTAAATTGTCTTTAAAAACTTCTTTTAAGCAAAACTATTGTCTCTCCTTGTTGTTTTATAGTGATATTGTGATATGTGCTGATGCATATATTTCATTCACTGAATGAATGAATGAATGAAGCTCAATCTATTCATTCAATTTTCGATAACTTCACTCTATGTCTACGTGCCTGTGTGTGTGTGTGTGTGTGTGTGCGTGCGTGTAGACATGTATATATTTAAATCATTGATGTTTCGGTAAGATCACTCAGTGTATGTAAATCGTCAAATCCCAACACTGACAAGTAACTGAGAAAAACAGTGAGAGAGAGAGAGATAGTTGGATGAATGTTATGTTGTCAAATGTCATTGTTATCACTTCAGATTACCGAGAGGGTTTTTTTTTTCTCCTGAGATGTTTGTTTTTCAAGCATTTTTTGTTTCTTTGAAAAATTGGCTCATATGTTCTCATTTATTGAAAGAATCTTATGCTTGCTAGTGACTACTGGCTACAGAACGAATTTGACTGGAGTCCTAGTGAGAAGTCTTGACCAATGCGGCCCATCCTGTCGCTAGCGATGACCGTTGACTGGTACCAATCGTGGTAAAATCACAAATTTATAAAAGTTAAAATTAATGGACTAGGCATTGACTTAGGTCTCAGTGCTGAGTGGTCTACGAGCTTGACTTATAACTGGAAGATCTTTGGCTCCAAATCTGGTGATGGTTCAAGGAGTTCCGATGATTCCCAAACTGAAACGAAACAGTTCACCAGTACTCCCTGGTTTTCACTGGTTCAATCCGTGGTCAAAACTTGAACCAAATCGAATCCCTACAACCTAACAACAATTATTGATGTCTATTTGAAAAGAAGTTATGATGCTTTCATTACGCAATCATAATTTGTTTCTTCATATTATTCAAGCAGAAGCTTTCTATAAAAATTAAGTTTATCCTTTTATATTCTGCTAACACATGTCTGGTCCGAATCTATACTTCTGACAATAAATAATAATAAATAATTCAATCCATTTTCATCTTCATTAAGTATAGGACAGTTTGCAGATGTTAGTTATGTTTTTCACTGTGCATTTATGCGTGCGTGCTTGTGTGCGGGGGGTTGGTGAAGTGAAGGGGAGAAACAAGAAGCTGGACCACACAAAATAACTTCAGGTGTGTGTGTGTGTGTGTGTGTGACATACATGCAGACATATGTGGCTTTTATTCAGTGAAGAATCATCAAGTCTGTGGGAGATATTTAATAAATTAACCATTAACGGATGAATCATAATTGCTATTAAATTATACATATATATATATATACAGACCCTAGTAACTATTTATAAATCTGGTGATATTTGAAGTGAAACTGGGGCGGGGGTGGTGCAGTCATTTTGTCTTATCTTGAGTTTGATTTGTATGACGGTGGTTCATTGGGAGAACACTGGCCAACTACTACTACTACTACTACACGTATTGTTCAAGGTTCGATTCCCGGTCGACGTACTGATAAACCTCACTCAGCCATCTAGTTACTACTGGATTGTTATAAAGGGGGGGGTTGGGCGTATGAGTCTAGCAAACTCACCAACCGTGTAAAGATGACAACATCACTTGCTACTGAAATTTCAGAGCTCGAGCTTGAAGCCAGTCTATGCTCCACTCCAATCGCCATGCTCTCTGTCTCGCATGAAATCGGTGTAATAATTAACTAATTAATGAGTGAATTACTTTGATTGGACACTAGGCAGTAACTGGTATGACGTGTCTAGTCCTTTTTCCTTTGGTGCAGACTGAATTCTATCTGTTAGTCATGTTTACAATGTGGCCACCATGCAACTAGGTAGCTCGCCATCTATCACGGTGCATATTGATTTGATGATATTAGATAGTTGGAGGCAATCGGCCACAGGAAGCCCTACTTGACCTAGGTTTCGTGCTAGTTGGCACTGGGTGACTCGCGTTTAAATCTCAGAAGGGACATGAGTTCCTTCAAGGTAGTTGCAGATACACCTTGTTGCTGACTGGTGAGTGTCAGCTAGCACGAAACCTCCTAGGTCAGGCAAGGCTTCCTGTGGCGATTGCCTTCAACCATCAAATTAATGAGTGAATTAATTAGTAATTCTCTCTAGTTTATCATTTTCCGCTTTCTGCTACCTATTTATCACATGAGGAAAATGGAATTCCCTTCTCTTTGTTTGCAGAATTTATTTATTTATTTACTTGTTTATATGTATACATGTTTTCCATTTGTTTATCTGTTGTTGTTTTTCTCTCTTCTCCTTTGAACAACAAACTGCCAAAGGAAACAGAAGGCGTGGTGGGTTAGGCATGGGGAGGATGGATGGGTGCGTGGGTGCATGGTTGGGAAATAAGGCCTACAAATAGTACTCAAAAGTATTACTTATTTACTCACACTAATGCATATTGTGCTTATTCTGATTAGAGGAGAGTGATGAATCTGTTCTGATAAATATATATATATATATATCATCTTGTCTTTGTGTGTGTGTGTGTGTGTATCGAACAATAGTGTAATTAGTAATTACTAACTAGTTGATTTTACTACGATTTGATTTGTCCTCATCTGATCTGATCTGATCTAATTGAATCTAACCTAAGCGTTTACTGAATTCTGCCTATTTCCTGCGTCATCCCTCTCTCTCCCCCGCCAACCTCGGGGAGGGGGGTTATTAGTCATCTTGTCATTATATCACTTAGAGTAGGAGATAGATAGATAGATAGCCAGATAGCCAAGTTTTACTCCATTATTCTTCTAATACACTTTTTTTTAGTATGCCTTCTTTCTATAACAATATTCTCTTTCTCTCTGTGAGTATGAGAATTTTATGGGGGGGGGGTTAAGTTATTTGCTATGCTTAGTACTACTATTAATGAAATGATATTAATTAGAATGATTTATATAGTTATTTGTTTATTTATTTATTTATTCTAGTATAATTTACATGTGTATTTATTGTTTTCCAGTCACCTACTTATTGTTCAGCATCATTAACTACTGGTTTCTACTCCCCGTCCTCTTCATTTAGCCTTTGCTCTTTCTTTCTTTCTCTCTCTCTCTCTCTCTCTCGCTTACTTCTACTGTCTCTATTTATGAGAACAGTAGACTATGGAGTTTCTAGAATCTCTTATTTACACATACACACTCTCTAATTCGCCTTTTTCCTAAGCAGGCAATTATTATTAGTAGTAGTAGTAGTAAATCATCAAGGGAATTTGTAATCCAGAAGAAGAGATCTAAGAGACAGTGTGTGTGTCTGTGTGTTTGTGTGGTTGAGGGATTGAGTGACTGAGTGAGTACCAACCAACCAAACTAATCAGTTCCAACAATAGAGAAAGAATAGAAAAATACATATTGAAGGCAGATAAATCAAAGATGGTGATTATTATTATCATTATTACTTTTTAAAAAAGCTCTACATGCCTGTATATATATATATATACTTGTGCGCTGTCTCCCTTGTTTACCCAGATACATATTAAAACGGATAAATAATAATAATAATAATTAGATAGGTAAATAGATAGATAGGTACAGAAGATAGATGAGTAGATAAATACATCGCCAGTTAGTCGTCAGTTAGTTAGTTAGTTAGTCAAATGACTAATTATGATTTTATCAGTTTCTCTTTCATATTATTATCATTATTACTGCTACCTTCTGTTGACTACCTCTCATAGTTGTACATCTCCATCACTAGTCTTCTTGCGCATTAAAACAGAATAAACAGGAATGTATATTTCTAATCATTTATAATTGTAGTATTAGTAGTGGCAGTACTTGTAGGTACATGAGTGTGTGTGTATATAATAATTTATAATAATCCTCACTGATTGATATGATGATTATATACCCCTTATTCTCTTTTCTTTTTTTATAAAAATAATTATTGTTTCCCTTCTCTTCACTGTATCCATTAATATTAACAAGGAATAGGCTAGTCCAGTTTTATATTGCGTTCTCTGTTCGGTTGGTTAGTTGGCTGTTGGTTGGCTGGCTGGCCTTTTTTCTCAGATGTTTCCCCCTTGCCATCTAACCCCTACCCCCTACCTCCTCCGTTTATATAATTTTATTTTTATACAACTTGCTCAGATGATACTTCAATGATTAGTAGTCAATATCTATCTATGTCATATAAATTAGTGACTATACAATATTAATAATAATAATAATAATCTCATTTATTATATTATTATTGTTGCTTTCCCATCATCATTATTAGTAGTATTAGTAGTAGTATATTACTTACCCATTTCAATGATCATCATTTCCTGTGGATCGTGTATGACAAATAAAAGATGGTATCATTCCAATGATATATATATATATATATATGTTGTGATAGACGCTAATTAACTGTGTTTACCACAACAGTTTAACGATATTCATATGTATATCTATATAAAACAACAACACTAGCACAGAATAAAATATTATCAGAATAGAATGTTGATCATAATAAACACTTAGGAGAGTGTACAGTGGAAGGAGTTCAACCTTTGATCTTGATGATAAGTAGCAGTGAGTAGATAGAGGAGAAGTTCATTAATAGTGTCCAAGAAGGGCGAACGCTCCAGTCACCTTGAACGCTTGCTAGTCATTCGTTGACTAACGGCCACCTGTCGTGTTCATAACTCGAATATCAATGCTATTCACCAATCAAAGAAGAAAATCTTATCCAAATCACGTTTTTTTTTAACTACTCTGTTGGACAATGTGTTAATAGCTTGTTAGGTTTAGGGATTAGGGTTAAGGGAAGTAATGGAGTTAGGGTGTGAGGATCAGAGTTATAATTAGGGTTAGGTTTACGATTAAGGATAGATTTAGAGTTGATGTCATTTATTTTTATTTGTTTTATTATATCCACATTTTCCTGGTAATTAATCGTCGATCCTATTACTGGAAACCATAGTAATTTAACCGAGGGCTTTGGCGGAAGACTGCACAACAGGATAAGAGAGATAAATAATTCACAAAAACAGCTCATCTTTAGTCACCACCTCAGTGAATATATGTACAGAAACTTGTATAACTTATTATAACTTAGGCACATTTTTAAGTCATGTCAGAGAAAGATAACCTGTTTATATAATGTGTTTTCATGCATCTTCTGCTAAAAATACGTCATTTTTTTGTGCAAAAAGTCACTTATGTTTCTGAGTGGTCAGCTGAAGGTCACTCGTGCGTTCTCATCCCTTGGGACGCTATTGTTGAACTTTGCCCAGACAGGTCTACTTAAGTTTCATTCTTCATCTTATTCTTCTTATTCTTCCGCTTCTCGCTTTTTATTTCCTCTTAATCCTTTGAATGATATATCGTCTACAGACATAATACTTTAAATAATTCTAGGGGTAGTAGCGTCACTGACTGCTGTATTGAATTTAACGCGATTTAGAATTACCGACGGGGCGTCAGTTTCATTCACTGTTGTTTATAGATACCCTATCCTGACGACTGTCAAGTTAGCACGAAACCTAGTTCTGCGGGAATTTCCTGCCCTTTGTCTTCAATCATCATTCAACTCTTTTGAAAAAAAAGATACACAAGGATTTCGTGTTGACATTACATTTCCCTATATAATTGATACACATTCTTAATCGCGTACTTTTGTAGGCGCACATATATAGATATATATTATTGATTATGAGTATAACCTGATAAGGAACTGATATTTGTTATTTCTGTGTGCTGATGATGACTGACAGTGGAGTTTAGGACACGCATTTCGTTCTGTTTGAGACCTTTTCATGTGTATGATATACCTGCATTGTATGTGACAGTGTTCCCATTGGGATTCAAACCCTTCAACCATTGTTTCAAATAGCAAAGCATTATCCAGTAGACTACTACTGCTAGTAACCAACATTAACAAAATTAACACCACATTAATCCATCGTAAGATATCCTCGAAGCGTCCGTACTAGAGGTGAGCGGTTGTATTCAGAGAAAGTCATCTGAAGTTCCTGTGACAAGTCGTGACCAGTATCTCGCGTGAATTAGCAGAGGTTGTAATTCATGAGTCATTAGATGGAAGTCTTAGTGGTTGAATGGTCTGCGAGGTTCATCTTTTAATCGGAACGTCCTAGATGCGTACTGATGAAGTGTCCCAAATTAGGATGAAATAAGTGTTCAGTATTCCCTCTGGATTTCCCATTGTCAACTTGTCATCAAAACCTGTCACCAACATCACTAATCAACCAATACGAAATGCCTATTGAAAGTTAAAAAAACAACAAAACAAATTTCAATCAGTTGGTTTTTTTCCTTCACGTTCTCCAGTGGAACATAGAGTTTCAAGCTAGTGGCTTGAAAGTTCTGTAGCAGTGTTTATTTTACAAGATGGGGTTGCTAGCCTCATGCCCAACCTTTCCTCTTTACCAGCATTATTTCTGGCTTAGCGAGGTAAAGGAGTGCGTCCAGTGGCCGGGGATCATGTGCATGTTCGGCGAGCGTCCTAACCGCTATGTCACCGACGCTAAAATCCAGGACTTCTGGTTACAAAGCAAGCTCGTAGACACCATTGGTTTACTGAACCTTAATCATATTGTCACTCAGAGAGTCGGATGATATCATAACGTTTTTTTTGTTAACCCTGAATAGTATTAACCTGGTACACACACAAATTAACGCGAATGTTTATTATTTACTTGTGTTATCTATTGTATCGTTAATTTCTCTTCTATTCTTTTCTAATTTTATTATAGACCAACCAGTTCTCTTCATGTGTTCCCAATCCATTCGGTTTAATCCCATTCTATGATCCATTTGGATGTAGTGCTGCAGCGGCAGCAGCCGCAGCCGCAGCGGCGGCGGCAGTAGCAGCAGCAGCTTATTCTTCCTCCTCTTCCTCCTGCGTACCATCCACATCATCGTCATTACAAAAGACACAAACTGATACAACTACAACATCTTTATGCATAGATAATAATAATAATAGTGGACAGTTGTCAGCTAATTCAAAGTATACCAAGAGAACGCCAACACTGAATGGTTTCAATACTATGATGCATAATGATACTGATCATGATGAATATGAGAGGTCAAGACACAGGATACCATCTATAAATAATGATACTGCCGATCATGATGAAAGTAGATTGAATCCATTGTCAGCATTGTATACAAATGCATATAATAGACGACATTCATCTCCATATAGTCTAAATCAACAACAACACCACCACCCTCAACAACAACATCCTTCTGATCATCATCATCATCAACAACATCAGTACTCAAGAGATTTATCTTCTAGTCTGAGTATGTTAAATCGTCAACCTGAAGAAACAGATGTAGCCCTTGAATTATCGCTAAGAGAACATAACCAATCACCACTGCCAACATCTCGTAAGTGTGCCTATATAAGTTATGTAATTACTGTTGATTACTGTTGACATACTTTTCTTATAAATGTATATTATAGTTTGTTTTGTTTTTTATACAATTGACTGGAATATCATTTCTATTTGTGGATTCTAGTCTATATATCACGAGTTGATAGAGTTAAAATTTACGGGACATTGAATTTCAGTCCCACAATTGGATGAATAATCGTCAACGAGCTTGTTCTCGTAACCTGAGAGTCCCGGGTTCGATCTCTAGCGGGGTGGTCGTGAGGGAGGGGACATCGATGAAGAGTCCCGAAATAAGACGAAACAGCTGTTGTTCAATGAAGAAATCTAATAATTGAAATGAAGTTTAAAAATTCATTCAATGAATCATACCGAGTCTATCGCTGATGACCTCAATTCCTAACCAAGAGAAACGGTCACCAGGTATTGAGATCACTGGCTGACCGAGCAGCAAGCAAGCACTACTGGATGATGTGAGTGATATGTAATCACTCATCTCAACTAATCAGTGCCATGTAGTGTTATAAAAGTGTATAAGTCAAAACTTGTCTGCAATATTAGATAGTTGGAGGCAGTCGGCCACAAGAAGCCTTGCCTGACCTAGGTTTCGTGCTAGTTAACACTCACCAGTCAGCAACAAGGCGTATCTGCAACTACTTTCAAGGAACTCATGTCCCTCTGAGATTCGAACCCGCATCACCAGTGAGGCTGTATTCAGAGACTGAGGCTTCCGATTGCCTCCAACCATCTAATAACATCAAACCAATGTGCACCGTGATAGATGGCGAGCTACCTAGTTGCATGGTGGCCACATTGCAAACTTGACTGACTGAAAGAATTCAATCTGCACCAAAGAAAGGACTAGACACACCACACCAGTTACTAGTATCCAGCCAAAATACTTGTTTGCAATGTTTTAAACCCTGAACCTTATGTGGTATAAGTCTGGAGTGTCTGCGATAAAATTTAAATCTATAGTAAGAGGTTCTATATAAGACGATATGCATTCGATAACAATGATATAAACTTCAGTTACTAATTACGAAAGTTCCTAATTGGAGACTGAAAATATTCAAATTATAATATGTGATCGCTTCTCTTCAATCGATTTGTCTCCCTAAAACAAGCTAAACCGAGTTCACTACTTATGAGCTCAAACATCCGGTTGTTTCCGACTAGTTATATATGAATCAGGTAGGCAGTTACCTGGGGTCCTAGTGAGAAGTTGTGACCAATAGGGTGCAGCAGGTCGGGTGTGAGGACAAATACTCGCCGAAGACATTGGCTAGGGGTCGCGCTAGGTCATGAATTGGCAGAAGTTAGAATTCATGGTCTGGCCATTTGATCGGATCCCAGTGGCTCAATGGTCTACGAGATCGCTAGCCTTGTAACCAGAAGGTCCTGGGTTCGAACTTCCCTGTGGTGGGTGCGTACTTCTGAAGAGTCCCAAACTACTCTGACGAAATAGCTGTCCAGTACTCCCAGGTGGTTTTCCAATGCTTCTCTAACCAATTCAGCTTATGATTTTAATACTGTAATCAGTAATTTCTTTGTTCATAAATACTATGATCTGTTTATTTTGTGACCTCTAGGTTCTCGTTCATTGGATGCTTCAGTTGACTCACCTAAACCATCATCTGTTGTTAATCAGTTAACATCAACATCCGGACAGATATCGTCTCCTGGACCACCTGCTCATAACATGAATAATAACAATAATAATAATAATCCTCTGTCGCCATCGACATCGTCGAATTTCTATGCAGTCGCTGCGTGTGCTGCTGCAGCTGTCGCCGCAGCTGTAGCTTCATGGAGTGGAGCTGGTTCACCGAGAACACCAGGCAGTAGATCACAACATTTCACACATCATCATCAAACATCACCATCCTGTACTAATATATTCCCTTTGAGTCCATCGACACCAGTGAATAAATCTGCCTTTTTAAATCATTTTCAATCAGTTAAATCGCCTGGTAGTAGTATTAGTGGAATACCATCCTCTCCGAAGTTATCGTGTTCAGCGTTATCTCCAGCGGCATTGTATCAAAGATGTGAGAGTAACAATACTAACAATAACAACAACAATAACAGTGGTAGTCGAACGTCTACTGGAAATAATTCTGCTGCTGCTAGTCCCTATTCTCCAAGGTAGGCTTTTTATTAAATCAGTGTTTGTGAGTTATTTTTATGTTTTATCAATATATTACTCATTTTTGGGGATATTTATGCATATATGCTTTGGCATCTATCTATTATCATTATTATTCCTTTGGGTTCCGAGAGGAACATAGGGCTTCAAGAACACATCTCCACTTTGTTCTATTTTTGCTGCTGTTCTCTTCACCTGGGTCCACGATTGCCCATGATCTCTCATCTCTTCTTCATACAATCTCTTCCAGGTCACCGTCGCAATGACGACCCACTCGAGCAATACCGTACATTGCGCGCAATGTCATTCGTCGACCTCTTCAACGTATGCCCTATCAATCCATTTCCATTTTCTCCTACATATTTGTTGAGCGATCGGCTCTTACTTGCTTTGTTACCAGCCTAACTTTTTCATTGCTAATTATTTCTGACTAGGCGGTCGTCTGATCTTCAATATGGAGTCAGTGGAGGTGGCAGCTGTTAATAAGAGTCTGTGACCTGTTGGAAATCATTTTCGTGACCCACAAGCATTGAAAGTTTCTGACCTGTATAGAAGATCTGACTGACTGACTGACTGACTTCACATTTGTACTGAAAGTCCGAATCTTGTTGTTTATGCTGAGGCGGAGTCCAAAAGATTTCCAAACTGGTTTCAGGCTGATGAAGGTGTATCTTGCCTTTCCGATTCTGGCTTTGACATTTTCATCTGTTCCGACTGCCTGCGGTTGAAACCGTCCTTCCTAGCCGGATAAGTGAAGCAAGTAACCTTTGTCAAATCTATCTCATTGATGGTGATTGGTGCTGGTTGTTGTTGCTTTTGGCTGGTTGGTTATGTTCATCACCTCCGTCTTCTCTATGTTCACCTGAAGTCCTGTCTTCACCTCTTCCTTCGCTTACATAAGATTGTCTTATCTATTGATTGTTTTAGTTGATGTATTTACAATGAAAGCGGTGAACATCCAGGTTGACTTAGGAGAGAGAGAGACTTGAAAAACCCTGATTCCAAACCTATGATGGTGTGTACTCCAGAATCCGAATGGATCGAATGCTGTATGAACCTATTTTGGTCACCGGGATCCATGCGAATATATGGCTTGTAGATCAGAATTCAAGTCAAAGGTTCAAGTGTCGCGGGGGGTGGGGGAGGTAGCTCCCTAAAAACAACCACCTGCTTCGGTTTTGCCGTTTGGGCAGTATCCTAGACCTCGTACAAACTAAGATTTCGTGTGTCCTAATAAACAATAATAATAATAATCATGGTCGTTAAAACTCAGTTGCTTGGAATGAGGTATTTGGTGTACCAGACCAGAAGCCACACTTATAGTGTGATACTGCTCAGTTGCTTTGACTAAAGTAGGTGGTTGAGGGCTGGAACCCAACACATCAGCTGAAAGTCAAGTGTCGTCACTATTATTATGATTATTGACATTATCGTTTTTATTATTACTTTTGTTGTCTACAACACGTTCACAGGTTCAGATAATGAGTGCTGAATTATTCATAGCATACGCCTCGATGTTCGTCAATGGTTTAGCGGCAGGATGCCCGACAACTGTGCAAGTGGTCCGGCGTTCGATTCCCGGCCAACACACACCCTTACATCCATTAGTTGGTTATAATCCTGACAAAGGGAGAAGACTGGACGTGTGAGGGTAGCAACCTCGTACTTCGTGGAAAAAGGTGAACACCACTCCTACTGAAACTTCAGAGCTCGAGCTTGAAGCCACTCAACAGTTCCACTCAGAATGCAAAGGAATAAAGTGGTTTTCAAAAAAATTTTAAACTACTCACTTATTTATTTATTGATCTATTTACTCATTTGTCACTTCCTCCTTTTGTTTTTGCTTCCTCAGTATGTTTGCTGCAGCAGCAGCTGCTGCACATATGCAGTTATTATCTGCTGCGGCAGCAGCGGCCTCGTTCAACTCGAATTTATCATCGTCATCATCATCAGCAGCAGTCTCATTGGCTGGTTCAGTGCAAACAGCTCAAGCCAGCACTCCTGCTACTATTACTACTACTACTACTTCTACTAACATGGAAGATTCAAGTCGTGGAAATAAACCGTCTGATTTACTACTGGCAAATCAGTTATCCACCGGTGGTTCTTCATCCTTCCAGAGTAGAAATTGTAATGACAACACTAATGATAATAATAATAATGATTCACTATCGGATAGTTGCTTATGGAGACGTCAACAGGCTGCAGCTGTTGTAGCAGCTGTAGCTGCAAGTGCTATGCTGGGAAATTCCTCCCCATCCTCACCGCCGTCATCCTCATCGATTTCTTCTGTTCCTGCTATTGGTGCTGTTGTCGATAGTAGTGGTAGTGGTGGAAATGCTGTACGTGGTACTACTACTAATCTATCTTCAAGTAGTTTATGGCCTAGTCGAAGTCATCTGTTCAATTCGAGGTAAGAATTGTCGGAATTATTTTGTGAAATGTAACCCCCCCCTCCGAAAAAGGGGTGGGGGGTAAATTCAAAACTAGGTCTCTAAAGGAGAAAATTTTGGGAATAAGAGAAGTCATGCATACTTCCATCTTTTGGGTTGCGGGGGTGGGGTGTTGCGGGGCTAGGAGTAATGTCATTGTATTCACTTTGTCTCCTTGTTTTGTTTTTACCTCTCTCTCTCTGTTTCTGTTTGAGTGTTTATCTGTTGAAAATATTAATGTGCGATCGATAATCTATAGGTAACAGTAGACATTGAAGAGTAATCATTGACCAGTATAATCTGTGGGTCATTTCGATTCTATGTATCTAGTTTGTGTGTGTGTGTGTGTGAAGTGAATCAATTATTTGAATATTCTGTGGATAACCGAACTGGTGTTCAATTTGACATCATGCTCCACTTTCGTCTATTTATTTTATTATTCCATTGAGTTGCTACTGAGACAGAACATCTCCATTTTACCCTCGGATCGCAGGTCAACTCGTTGTATTCCATTCGGGTTCCATTTTTGAGAGCTAGCCTGGCGCGTAATGTCACTCATTTGGTCTTCCCCTAAGAGTGTCTTCGACCCATTTCCATTTTCTTTGACAGTGTGTTATTGGTGAAGTGTTGCATATCACAGAGTTCCTTGGTGTTAATCCTTTCTAGTCGGTCATCTGTGGCACAGCGACAGAGTGCCGACCGACCACGCAGGTGGTTTGGAGTTCGATACCCGGTCACCAACGCACTCCTTTACCTCGCTTAGCCAGTAATATGACCGGTAAAGAGGGGAGATTGAGCATGTGAGGCTAGCAACCCCATCTTGTAAAAATTAAGACCATCGCTACAGAGACGTCAAGCTTCTTGCTTGAAGCCGTATGTTCCAGTGGGAAAGCAAAGAGATGAAATAAAAAAATCGAGTCGATGAAGGCTGTTGTTGATGGAAGTCAGTTCAAAATGCTTTTGATAACACATCGAGTTACTGTGAATCATAAGGGAACAATGATATATGACATTAGTATTGAGAGCCACATTCTTATTTTCAATGGTGAGTAGTTCAGCAGATTTTGACACTGAGACTCCAGTTAGTGAAAGTTTATTCTTGCTTCTCTGATCGTGTTATCTGCCTATGATGTCCAGATAAGTGAAAGGAGTGACTTCTTTCAAATTTCTCCCATTTGGGGGGTGGGTGGGTTGGTGGTGATTGGTTAAGCATCTTCTGGCTTTTCTATGTTCATCACTTCAAATCCTATCTTCGGTGACAGCCTCTTATGCCAATTTTTTTTCGTTTTTGGTTTTCGCCTATAGATAAACAAGTCTGTGTGACAGTTAGCATAAATCACCTTTGAAGTCTAGATCTTCTTTCCATCTTCTTGTCACCCCCACCCTCTGCCGCTCACAGTCTATCGTGTGATCCACATTTATATATATCTACAAGTTATGTTGGACGTTTCAATTAAGGTCGGAAAACTTTTAAGAGATGAACGCCTTTTTTGTGTTTTATATCTCCGTCTCTGCCTGTCTCTCTGTGTATCTATTCATGCGTCTGTGTGTGTGTGTGTGTGCGTACACACTCATTCATCATATTTGATGAATTGGCTAGTAGATTTGAATGATGAATAGGTTGTTGTTGTTGGTGGTATGATGAAGGCAGGTGAAGGAAGGAAGCGAGGAAGGCGGGGCCATTGATAACTTGATTTTCATGATGAATGACCCAAATCACAAATCCACAAATCTGTCAATTTCTATTTTTGTAAATTCAATTCCAAAGAGTAATTCTTCCCCCCTTTGTTGCCTGAATGAATTGTGTAGATATAGTCACTCACTGTCACACAGACACTCACATACATGCAAATACACAACCATTTTATTTCTTTATTTTCTATTTTTTGTTTTAATCAATCAAATTAATTAATTAATTGATTGATTCCACTCGACCAACCTTAATCATCAACTCCTCAAGTTTGTAATTCCATCTGTCACAGACACAGGCGCACATACACCCGCACACGCCAAAATGCCACAGGTATTGTTGTTGTCGTCGTTGTTGTTGTCATTCATGGGATCACATATACACCAACCTACCTACCTACCTGTCAGTTATTCACATATACACACATGATTGATCTATTGTTATGACTTAGCTGAGTAATAGTCATATTCCCACCGTTGCCGTCGTTCCTACCCCACCCCCCGCCATCACCAACACGCCTCGTCTCTGTATCTGTGTGCCACCAATCGTCCTATTCTTTACGTTTTTTCCAATTATTTATTGTTTGATATTTATGCAGGGGTTTCTCTTCACTCCACTTTGTTTCATCTAGTATGGCTGATATGTTAACTGTTTTATTAATATTATTATTATTAATATTATTAGTTATTGTTATCACTATCACTTCTAATACTGTTATCCAGGATAAAATGATGAAGACGTGATAGGCAAAATTTTTTTTAAGACAGGTGGTAAATTCATTTTGATGGATTGATTACACGCTTAGTAGTCGCCTTGTTGTTGTCCCTCACTCAGTTATTCTCTCTCTCTTTCTCTTCTCCCCACTCTGGGTCGTCTACTTCTTCGGTGTCAGTCTGTCTATCTTTAATGAAAGTGACGACAAAGTCGTGCTAGCAGCGGTAATAGTAGTTGGGGTTGTGGTGGGAGACACACAACAAATATTGACAGATAGCCAGGGACAGAGAGAAGGGGGGGAGTGATAGTGCTGAGGGAAAGTAGTCAGACTTCTTCAGGATAAAACAAAATTAATGAGAACTTTATGTATTTATTTGTTTACTTATTGTTAATTTTTCAAACCAGCTGCGCTGGCTTAACTAACTGTCAATAAACATCTTGATTTATCATCTATCAGTTTAGGATTATGATAAAATGTGTGTGTATATGCATATTAGAGGAGTGTGCGCGTGTGTGCGTGTGTATGCTCCGTTGAAGTTGTCTAATTGGACCTCACTGGTCACGACTTCTCGCTAGGACTTCAGGAAACTCCATCTGTAGCAAGTCACTAGCGAGAATCAGATTAATTTTCTATAGTTTGGTTTGTAAGGGTTAGCTATGTTTTTATGAGTCGATCACGGATTGATAACAGTTAGAGAACCATTGAAAACCAACAAGGAGTATTGGACAGCTGCTGTTTCATCCTAGTTTGGGAATCATTGGCAGTACGCACCCACCACCAGGATTCGAACCCAGGACCTTTCGGTTACAAGGCAAGCAAGCTCGTATACCATTCAGCCGCTGGGACCTGATTCAATGGCTCATGAATTCTAACCTCTACCAATTCGTGATTTAGCGCGACCCCAACTATTGTCGTTGGTGGGACATCCATCTACACACGTGACATTTATACAAGCTTGCCTTGTAACCGAAGGTCCTGGGTTCGAATCCTGGTGGTGGGTGCGTACTGCCAATGATTCCCAAACTAGGATGAACAGCAGCTGTCCAGTACTCCTTGCTGGTTTTCAATGGTTCTCTAACTGATATCATTCCATGATCAACTCGTAAAAACATAACTAGCCCTTACAAACCAAAATACAGAAAGTTGTCTAATTGCTTGAGAATAGATTTACTGTGCATATATACACACTATGGCCACATGCTCATCTTATTATTTTAGTAATGGTACACTACACTTTTAAAACAAATCTAACAGTAAGGGTGTTAACAGTGATACAAAAGTGTGATGTTTTTATTTATTTGTGCACTGACCCACACAACTACTTTGCTCACCGAATTTCTAACGTAGAGTAGTTTGCACAGAAGTGCCTCGGCAGTTGAAGTTGCCATATTCTATATTATAGTACATAAAGGTTGAGAGAAATAAAAAAAATTCAAAACAGTTATACGAATCAGAAATGTAGGTGGGAATGAATAGTAGTAACCTAGATGAAGTTGATGGATGAAAGATTGCAAAAGAGTGAATGCATCCACACCATTGAGAACCATTTTGATGCTTATTATTGCCAATAGTCTCCAGCCATTTGTTCCTAGCATCCTAAAGGGCGTAACTAAGTGGTCTATACCTATCTACATCCTTATAGACTGATATCAGGTGTTTGGTTTGACCAGTCCTAACTATTTTCCAGCCTTATGTTGTCGAGAAAGGCGGTAGCTCGGTATACGCGAAACATCGCCTAGCCATTTGAATCGATGTAGTTTCACAACAATACTGTCTTCATTTGATGTATAGTTCCCAATAATTGATGACATCGCACACCAGGCTATCGTTCGAGTTGAATCTAAATGGGAAGCGATGAGTGAGTCATCGGTACTAAGGTGACATGGAAGAGATCGTGTGAGGATGAGATGAGACAGTTTGGTCAATTATGGACTCAGATGAAAAGGACAACAGAAGATAGGACGAAGTGGTGGAGATGTATAGTTGAAGCCCTATGTTCACTCGGAACTCAGGGAATAATAATTATTATTATCCCAACAGTTGAATCACGAAAAGTAGGGAAGAAGAAGAGAAAAGAGTAGATTTGAAACTGTTATGTACTCGTCGCTAAATTATTGTTATGGACTGGTCGAGAATTTAATAGTCCTGACGCAAGAAGGCGGAAATCAGAACAGACCACTAGGCTTGCGATGATACTTCTATTGTCCAAACACAAGGAGAAGCAATAAGTGGTATCACACCAAAGTAAGTAGTCACACAATATTAAGTGAGCGAAATATATATGAATGTCCAGACAAGTGTGTGAACAAATCAATAGACAGTCTTAACATGAATGGCTAATTATAATGGAGTATTGATCCATATATACATAGCAAAATATAGCAGACATGTCAACAACCACACATATAATATGGATATATGTCACCAAGCAACGGACTGTCAACAAACACTCATATTATGTATAATATAAGGGGAATATACGTTGTTAAAGGAGACAAGTTCATACAAGTGAAATGGTCACAGACTAAGCGAGCAAACCGAAAGAGAGATCACCATACACATATATATATGGATACATATCAGAAACTAAATAAGTTCTACTTATCTGGTCACTTCAGATTATCGAAATCAAATACTTCCAGTCATCTACTCACTTTTTCCATACAGTGCACCACACTCAAAGACATACACACATATTGTTCATTACATCAGAATATTTCTCTTTTAACACAAAATATACATATTTGAATAAAGCAAGAACAACAGTTTCTGCAGAATAATTTTGTTGGCTTCTCATCATCTGCTTACAGGCCAAAGTCATTATTAAATAACTGTATCTACAGAAACAATATTCACATACTTGAATAGACAGTTCATTTTTAAACAAAAATCAATCGATCAATCAATGCATACATTTTTCTTTTTTTTTTTATACCTTTACATTCCCACTGGAAGATAGGGCGCCTTCAAGCTAGATAGAGGCTTGAATTTTATCTTTACGGGTTGAAGTTACTAGCTGCATCCCTCTTTATCAGTCTTATTACTGGCTTAGCGCGCAGTAAAGGAGTGCATACAATGCTAATAATCACTTTATCCCAAATAATAATAATCATACACAATGGAAACTTTCGGTATTACACAATCAGATGAAAGAGAGAGGATGAAAACATTCAGTTGCCAGGAATGCATGGAAAAGAAACACTAATAATAACTAATAATTCATGGGCCATTGGATCGGGTACCAGTGGCTTAATGGTATACGAGCTCGCCTTGTAACCAGAAGGTCCTGGGTTCGAACCCCGGTTGGTACGTACTGATGAAGAGTCCCAAACTAGGACGGGGTAGACAGCTGTCCAGTACTCCCAGGTGGTTTTCCAATGGTTCCTTTAACTAATGTCAGCTCATGATGGAATCTTGTAACTAATAACCGCTTCTTTCTGAACGCATAATTGCAGTATATAAAGGCAATAAACTCTTTTTGTCTCGATAAGTTTACATGTATTGTTGCATATAACGAGTCAAACTTGTCATAAAATCAATCTGTTTATTTATCTGTCTGTTTGTTAGTGAATAGTAATAATAATAATAATCTTTTTCCCTTCTTTTTTCTCTCTCTTGTTATTGTAAAATACACCTCAGTTTAGTGTACAAAGTTGAAAAGAAATAATTTTATAATCGATTGTGAAAGAGAGTGTATAATTCTTGTCAACTGACAGACTATGATTTATTTAGTGTTGAAGGCCTTAACACTTTATGAAGAATTCTTAGACATTTGAAACACTTTTATACCAAAATTTCACTGTAGGAGATTTCGTCTCATGTCTGCTACATCAGTCAAAGGATCATTGAATAGTAGTCAATGAGCAATGGGACAACTGTTTCTATCTCATTTGCGACGTATACATAACAACCCAGTCAGGGATATAACATAGGTTAGGACCTTTAGGGTTAAAAGGTCTAACCGTTAATCATTCAAATTTGTGTTGATTTACGATAGACTACTTACTATCGCCAACCAATGATGTCGGTTGGAGTGGTATCCACATCATGTGACTTACAATGATTTGTGAACTCTGATGTCGCGATTAGTGACAAAATCTCTACATTGGAATAAATTAGAATTCTTGCAAAATCTTATTTTAAGTCAAAAATAATTTACGAGTTTGACCATGGATTTGATATCAGTTAGAAAACTATTGGAAACTAGCTGGGTGGGGAGTACTGGGCAGCTGTTTCATCAGCCTAGTTTCGGAGTCGTCGGCAGTACGCTACCATCTCCAAAGTTCGAACCAAGGACCTTCCGGTTACAAGGCAAGCTTGCTCGTATACCATTCAGCCAATGGGTCACTGCATCGGGTCCCAGTGGGTGAATACTGTTGACGATTCCCAAACTAGGCTGATGAAACAGCTGTCCAGTACTCCCACCCCAGCTTGTTTCCAATGGTTCTCTAACCGATATCAATCCATGGTCAAACTCGTAAAAACAAATCTAATCCTTACAAGCCAACTCTTAAAATAATTTAATTCGCCCTCCTAGTTATTCCTCTTTTTTAGAGATAATAAAATGTGTATCTTGACACAAATCGACAAGTGTATGTGGCTGGATAGGGGTGGGGGAGAAGCAGTGCTCTGACTGGATAGATCTAATTAGCTTCAGTTGTGTGCTAATTCGCAATGATGATTATTCTTGAAAGGGATGATTTCAAAAATTCACCTACCATCCTTTTTCTTCTACTCCTCTCCTCGAATTCTGTCATTAAAACTGAAAATATAGCCGACATCGTGGTATACTACTGTAATCAATTTTGTAAGTAGTATGATCCTTAAAAGAAAGTTTTGACCTATAGATAATTGACGTGTGCAATTATATTGTTTTAATTTCTCTTAATTTGTTGATAATCATGATTTTATTGTTTGTTTGTTTTGTTGTTTTTTTGTTGAAAACTTTTTGAATCTAGATGCCGGGATCGTCGAAATTATGAATTTGTAAAATCTCTAACCAGATCAAGTAATAATAGTAGTGTCCAAAGAAGTAATAATAACAATAATAATGATGAAACAATTCTCGATTCATATAATGAAAAAATCAAGAAATCAAATCATTTATTCATGTCATCATCATCAACATCAGCAGCAGCAGCAGCGCTAGGGATGTCGACAACGACACCTTCATCATCAAAGGCTGGTATGCATATTAAGAAACCATTGAATGCATTTATGCTATTCATGAAAGAGATGCGTACCCGCGTGCAGGAAGAGTGTACCCTGAAAGAATCTGCTGCTATTAATCAAGTATTAGGCAAAAAATGGCATGAATTATCTAGAGAAGAACAGACGAAATATTATGAAATGGCAAGACATGAAAAAGAATTACACCAACAGCTATATCCGAATTGGTCAGCACGTGATAATTATGCCTATCATGCTAGACGAAGGAAACGTCGACGACATTTATTTCACAAGCATGGTATACATATTAGAGGAGCACGATATAATAATAATAATAAATCTGGAACAATTGGCTTACGTGGTGGTGCTGTTACATCAGATAAATTAATGCTAATGAATCATTCAAATATGTTGGATAAATTAAAACTGGAGGGAAGTAAATCATCTTGTCAACAAGGTGGTCAACAACGCCCATCACAACAGCAACACCAATTACGTGTTCATGATCAATCTCCAACTGGAAAATATTATCCCGATGGATCAGTATCCCCAGTGGCTATGAATCGGCCGAAAATACAAATCACTAATATGCTTGATGATGTTGTCAACCCCAGTAGTACTACTACTAACAATAATAATAAATGTCTGTCTCCTCTTCCACCAATTCTAGCATCGTCTACCACCCTTTCGGAATTATCCTCTTCTGACCAACAAACACGCATGAAATCGAATTCTCCAATATGCAGAAAACAAAATTACCCATTCCCTATGACATCATCATTATCATCTCCTGCACCAGCATTATCTACACAGTCTAATGTTGTCGCAACAGCACATCCTATGAATAGTCCGCGTTTACTGACAACAATGCCTTCCATAATTGATACAGATGACAACTTGCCTGCAAGACAACATAAGAAAGGATCTATTGATGCTTTGACCTCAGTAGTATACAATAAAGCATTACTGAATGGTAGTGGTAATGATGGAAGAAATAATAGTAATAATAATAATAATAATAATTTTACCTCAGAATTTCCCTTATCATCAATGAATAATTTCAACACTTCAAGACAACCAATGATTGATGCAGGTCATCGTAATCATAATCATCAGACGTCTGGAGATATGACACATCCTTTCTCTCTTCATAACAACAACAGCAGCAACAGCACCAAGTCAGATAAATTTCGAACAATGTCTGTGCTGAATGGTAAATCTGCCTTGAGTACAAATAAGTTGGATTTACAATCCAGTAATCTGAGTACACCACCTGTAACCACCAAGTCAACAGGAAATATCGCCTCAGCTTGTATGTCATCGGGGAAATTCTTCCCTCGAGAAAATGAAGAGTCAATAAACTCTACTCATAGAGATTTTCTTTTCCCACCTCTGCCTTCTCATCATCAGCAATCGAGTAATAATAATAATAATAATAATCATGATGCAACAAGTTTATTTCAGCATTCCACAACTTTTCCCTTCCTCCCTTCTGAGTTGTCGTCTAATAGAGGGGATATTTCTTCATCATTCTGTCCAACCAGTACTACTACTACTAATACTACTAACACTACTGATTCCACTTTTCTGTCTGTATCTTCATTGACTGGTTGTCATCATAAACCAATGCATTCCAAAGAACAGCCTGCTGCCTTCTTTCCATCTAAATTTACTGGAACAATGAATTTATCTGCAGATATAAAAAGCAAACCTCTACCACAACCACATGATCATCATTATTATTACCCGGTGGCGCTTATCCATCGGGTTATCATTCCCCACCTAACTTTATGAACCAGTCTGCATCAATGCCAACAAATTATTCAAATTTTCCTGGTCCACATTTACCTTCACATTTCATGTCTACATTTGGTTTCACCAATCGACATCATAATTCAACATCATCATCGCCTTCTTCTTCTTCTAGAAGTATCGGTGAATTACTGTCGGATAGCCAGATGAAAGCGAATCTGAAGAACACGTCGAATTCGCATTCATCGGTGCCGACTAGCATGGCCGCAGTTGCGCAGCTGCAGCTATGGCAGTTGGTGAATTATCTGGTGGGAATTTGAAAAAATGTCGAGCTCGATTTGGTCTAGAACATCAGAATATGTGGTGTAAACCTTGTCGGTATGTATATTTCACCTTTTCTCCACCTTGGTGGTTTTATTTTGTCAATTATTTTTAGATGAAAGTAGATTACACATAATCATGCTGTTAACAACATTTGGATGGCCTTTTTTTTTATCTTCTATATGTATAAAATGTTGAAAGAAATTTTATACGTACGAGATGTTGTTTGATTTAAGCATTTCGTTTTTGTAGGCGGCGAACATGACCGTTGGACTGGTGTTTCAAAGTCAACCGACCAATTTGTGTTATGATACAATGAGATGCTTTAGCGTCATTTGTGTCACTCTTCTACACAAGCCATTTTTTTTTTATTCTTTCACGTTCCCTTCACGTTTCGGTAGCAGTGGTGTTTATTTTTACAGGATTGGGTTGCTGGCCTCATGCTCAAACTTTTCCTCTTTTACTAGTCTTACTACTGGCTTAGCGAGGTAAAGGAGACGCGTCGGTGGCTGGGGATCGAACTCCGGACCACATGAGGTGTGGTCAGCGAGCACTCTACCGCTAAGCCACCGACTCACACAAGCTATTACTATGATTAATTATTATTATTATTATTATTATTATTATTATTCCCTTAGGTTGTGATTGGAGCATAGGACTTCAGGAGCACATTCCAACTCATCCTGTCCTCTACAGTCGTCTTTAGCTGTCTTGTTCATATGCTTTCATCTCCTCCTCATCACACTACCTCTTTCATGTCTCCCTGGGACATTCAAATAGCCGTTACCCACTCGGAGGCCCCACTTGAAGGCCAGTCTGGCGGGTCACTCAACTGTCTTCTCAGCAGGTTTCCAATCCACCTGCATTTTCGTATGTACACATATGTTAGGCAATGACTGACTGGTTTCAGCGTAGAACTTTGCACCTGTGTTCAGCATTTTGTGTCGCCACACTTCGTCTAGCACACAAAGTAAGAGAAGAGAGCAGAAGAAGATATAAAATGGAGATATGAGGCAAAAAGAATAGTGATATGGAAGAATAATATAGTTTTACTGGAAATTATAAGTCACGAGGAGTGGATGCATCTGCGTTGGCCATTGAGAACAATTTTGAGCTATACCACCGATTGTCTCCAGCCATTGGTTTTTACTATCTCGAAGACCCCAACCAAAAAGTCTACATCTTCCTATGTGGCTGGTTTAAACTAACTGTTGTGGATTTCATTGACTGATGAAGCCATGTTTTGATTTGACCACCACTGATTGTTTTCCAATCTGATCCTTTCTATGTTAGCTAACGTTGCCCATCAAGGAAGACGATGTCTACGAATGCATGCGTGACACACATCCTAGCCATCACAATCGATGTAACTTCTCAGTCTTGTCTACTGATTCCCCCTCCTTACCTAGAACTCGACCGATGCCTAACCTCAATATTGCTCACCCTGTTATACCACTTCACACAGGAGATAGAACGCAGACACCTATGATCAAAGACAGCTAGCCAGGCTCTTCATGTCTTCCACTTTCAATGGCCAGGTCTCACAGTCATAGAGGAGGACGGAGCGGACTACTGAGCAGTACACACACCCTTCGGTATTTTAGGCGATAGGTTCTTGGTTGGTTCGTTGCATGACCGAGTTCCATATCGCTGATCTTTTCTGGTCATTTAATCTGTGAGAGTGACGTGAGGATATCCATTGAGGCCTACGGATCCGTGCTGCAGGAGGAATTCCTCCTGGTCCCACTGTCTTCTCAGTTTTCAGTTGTGTTGGAACATTGGTGTTTACTGAAAGTTCTGTGCCAACTGTTGTTGGTATTTCTGCACAAGTTGTAGGCGGTAGTCGGTTTAGAGGTCCTTTGAAATGATTAGCCCATTGTTTCCTTTATTTCTTTCCTTTGGTAATCAGGTTCCCTTCATTATCTTTCATTAGTTTCATCTCTATTGGTATCTTCTCAGATGGGTATCTTGTTATCTGGTACAGTGGTCTAAGGTCCCCTTTACCTGCAACTTGCTATGCTTCAGTTTCCAGCGTGTCATAGAATTGTTTTTGTCGTTAAGTATATTTGTAAAGTTCCACTGAAAGAGAACTGTACATTTATGACTTCCTGTAATTTCGTTGAAGAGATTTCTTGAAAACATATAAAGGAATTTTAGGCTAAACTAACTAAGGTATATCAATTTGCGTTTAGGAATTCAAGATTGTTGATCATTCCACTTTGCTGAAAAAGGGAAACAAATCTTCTTGTGATAATCACAAAAAGATCAACTTCATTTACATTAATATCCACGGTCTCAGGAACCAGAGACCTGCAAAGACTAAGCGGAGCTCGAGATAGAAAAACTCGAATAAAATAAATAGGTTTCACACCCAGACGAGAGTGTGGTCTGTCTGTCTCTGTCTGGATTCAACATAGAACTTGGCACCGAAGTGCACCAGTTCGAGTTCTCACGTTCCAAATACCACACAGAGGTAGACAAGAAGATGAGTGAAGAGAATCAATAGAGTTTGACAAGTATAAGAGTGAAACAGAATGGGTAATGGTAGAAAGGAATATGAAAGATTACAGAGACTGAATACATCTGAGCTGGCCATTGACAACGATTTTGAGCCATGTCACCTATTGTCTCCAGCCATTGATTGATTCTTAGGGTCAGTCCCGAGGGCCCCAACCCGGACGGAAGTCTGCATCTCCCTACCTGACTGACTCAGTTTAACTGTCAAGGATTTCATGGATTGATGAGGCCATGTTTTTGTTTGGCCACCACTTACTCTTTTCCAACCTGCACCTTTCTATATCAGCTAGTAATGCCCGTCGGGGTGGGGGAGGCGATGGTTAGGCATGCGCACCACCTGACCTAGCCATCTCAATCTATGTAACTTTATAACCTCGTCGATTGATTATCCCTCTTTGCCCAACACTCTACGCCTAACGTCAACATTACTTACCTTATTAAACCACCTAACGTGAGAAAGAGATCACAGACATCTATGATCGAAACAGTCAACCTTTTCATGTCTTCAACTCGTATTGGCCATGTTTCAGAGTCATAGAGAAGGACGGAGCGAACTGATGAGCAGTATACACGTCCCTTGGTTGATAGCCGGATGTCACGCCTACGCCACAGATGGCGTAAGTCAGCGAAAGCAGCTCGAGCTTTTTGGATCCGTGCTGAGATTTCGTTCCCAATCAGTCCGTTGGTGCTGATACAACTTCCCAAATAGGTGAAGTGGTCAACATGTTCTTCACATGCACTTCACTCCCTATCACTAAGTTAGGGTTGACGTAGTCCAGTCCTGTAGCAGCATCTCACATTTTACAGGGGCAAGTCGCATGCCAAACATACGAAGATTGCTCCTCAAGGTGTTCAGAAGACTCTGCATTTTGTCAGCATCCTCCCCTAACAGGACTATGTCATCTGCATACTCTAAGTCCATAAGACTATTCCCTGGTAACAAGTCGATTCCTAAGTCGTTACGTTCAGTTAAGGATACTTCCATTAGCATATCTATGATGAAGTTAAACAGAAATGGGGAAAGTGGACATCCCTGTCGGACACCACTGGTTGTTATCAATTCAGATGACAATTCCCCATAAGCCCTTACACGACTACGTGAGTTTGAATAGAGTGCCTTGATTAGTGCAATGTACTTTCTTGGCACTCCCTTCACAGTCAAATATTGCCATAGTACTTTTCGATCCACGGAGTCGAAGGCCGGCTTCAAGTCAAGAAATATGGCAATTGTGTGTGTGGCAGTCATATATATTCAACCTTCGACACGTTGTAAATTAAAGACATGCTGACCAAGGTTCAGCATTTTCTATATTTTATGATCTAATCACATCCCATGCCGTAGTAATATCTGGTTGTCAAGAGAGTATTGGGAATGTATGTTGCACCAATCGATACACTTTAGTCGAACACATACAGTTGTGTAAGAACTTATGGGTAGCTGTCATCTAAGGTGATGACTTTCACTGGTGTCCGTTGGGATAAATATGACCTCGTTGACTTTGGTATTTTAGAAGTTTCCTTATTATCAGACAAACGTCTCAACGATGTACACTATGCAGATGGCATTGTCCCTTCTAGGTGAAAACATTGAGAAAATGTACAGTCTATTGTGATTGTATTACGCATTTCTTCTCTCTACTTTTTTTTAAATATTCCACTTAAGCTGAAATTATTAATTTCCAACAGTTAGTTTGTAGAGAGTTGTAGAGGACAGCTGTTTAAGACTCATCGGAAGTAAGCACCCACTCCCACCAGGATTCGAACCTTGGGCAAACTTGTAGACCAATCAGTCAATGGCAATTGAGTCAGTAACCCATAAATTCTAATTTTGTACTAATTCCTAAAAATTACAGCTATACTAAGCTTTTCTATCTTCTGATCTTTTGTCTTTCGTTTTTTTGTAAATAGTCGTAAAAAGAAGTGTATTCGATTCATCTCTGAAGCAGATGCAGAGGAGTTTTCACATAGTGGTGGATCGCAACAGACAGCCAACAGCCAATTATCATCAACAAATCATCAAATTCCTCATTTTGCAAGACATGGAAGTCTAACTAGTTTTATGGATCCATTTCTGCATTCCATGCATTCATCGCATCAATCTAATCTGTCCAATCAGCATTCAAGTAAATTTCACTCAGCATTACCTTCAGGATTTCTATATCCATCATTAAATTCAAATAATAATAATCATATCGGAGCTGGTGAAAACACTTCATTATCTGGCTTTAATTCACGATTAAAATCTCATCTAATATCAGATGCTTATAATAATAATACCGGTAAACCGTCTGCATTTATGCATCCTTCACAGTCATCACGGTCATTAAATCCTGTGTTGAATTTACCGCCTTCACTTTTAATGACAGATTCGTATAATTCACGTAGCTCAACATTTGAACAATTGAACACTAAACTGCCACCATCAACATTATCCTCATCGTCGTTACCATCGTTTTCTTCGCCAACCCGTGGATCATCTTCACTTACTAGTCATATATCTCAATGTTTACCCAACTGTAATAAGTCAAGAATACCAGATCGATTCAGCAACAGCAACAACAAAGATTTTCTTGAAAAATCCACTCCACAAGAATTATGGAATAATAATAATAATAATAACATTAATAATAATAGTAATAATGATAATGGTTTGAATCACTTCTATCCTAATTGGTCACAATATTCTTCAGCTTTTAAACTCTCCTCCTCATCATCAGTAGTAGCATCAGCATCCTGTGTAAATCCTCCTCCAACTGCTGATGAAACAATAGCTTCTATCTCTTCAAAATTAAATCCATTTGATTTGATGAATGCTTCACATGGCCGACTTAGTCAATTGTCTACAGTCAATAAGTCGGATAGCGGTGATACTATTGAAAGATTTAAACCACCGTCCACATCATCATTACGACCAAATCAATTTGGTGTTGAATCTTCGCTAACAACATTCAATGATGGTGATTCGTCAAAAAATACTACTACTACTACTACGATGTCTACGACGAGTAGTTGTGGCAGTACTTATACAAACAGTGATGTCTTGTGGACATCTACAAAGTATTCTCAGAGAATAATGCAAAACATCCGTTATTCAGTTGTTCAAATTTTATGTCAACATCAAATGGTGTAGAAACATCCACCTCCGTCACTGACACCGCCGCTGTCACCAAATCCTCCTCCTACTCGTCATTATCGTTATGTACAGAACCGATTAATAATATGAAGTCAATTATTAATAGTCATTCTGTAGAATTAAGCAAAGCAACGCATGAAACTGGTATAGATACAAATTCTGTTGATGAACCTCCTAATAAACGTATCTGTTGTGCTTCATCAACTGACGATAATAAAATAGTGAGGATGATAATGATAATAATGTTATACAGACGAGTTCATCAAAATCATGTCTAGCATTTACATGTACAAATATTAGTAATAGTAGTAGTAATTCGATGAATAATAATAATAATGGTAATTTAGCATCATTCCATTGTCATAAAAGTAGTAATATGGATAATAAAACTACTGACATTTCTACTATAACAACTACTGCCTCTGTCAACACTACTCCTGCCTCTGCTATGGTTACTACTGCATCGTCAACAACAACAACGACAACGACGACAGCAAATCGTGAGTCTGTTCGATTTGGTGTAGCTGATTTTATGGGAATCAACGACAAAGATGATGGTGATGCAGATGATGATGATGAGGATCCCTTAGTTATTGTCGTCGATAACGATGATGGTAATCACAATAAGAATACGCATGATCATGATATACTGACTACTTGATTGTATATGTGTGGGCGTGTAATATATCCGCCTTCCCATTAAATTGACATTTACATACATCTATCTGACAGAGTATAGTAGTATATAATTACAAAAAAATTGTACTATTTTTCTGACACATGAATGTTTTCCGCCTCATTTTCTTGTGTTTATACCGGCGGGAATACGCACACACATACACACACACACACACGGAGAAGAGAAGTATTCATTTTAGATATTCTCGTCAACTTGAATGATATCTAACTTTGTGTCATGATGAATACTATTGTTATTGTTATTATTATTATTATTACTACAACTACTATAATCTACTTTACTCTAAGATAATGTAAATCCACTTGTCATTACTTTTATTTTTTCTCCTTTCAATGTTGACAACGATAATGATGAACATATTCATCATTATCGTTGTGGCGACGCGATATACCACCGTCTTTATCGCCATCATCATGATCATTAGCAGCAAATAGAAGCAGGATACATCATATCGTCAAAAAAGAAAAGAAACCGACATTTCATTCAATACACGTATATTCACATGTATATTTCCCGCCAAAATCATGTATAAAAAAAGTAAGACAATTACCTGTTGTTATTTCCTCCAATTGGATGTATGTATGTGAAATTGTTTGTGCCTGTCTTCGTGTGTGTATACGCCCTTATCATCTTATTTCTCAAGTTGTTTTTTTCTTTTTGTTGTTCCCTCATCTGGTGGTTCCCCTCTGATCTTCTTTTTTTCATCCTTATTGTTCATCTTTGTGACAATGATGATGAGTTTGAAATTGAGATCTACTCTAGATTTCGTTTCTCTTCTCTATGTGTATTGTATAATTTTTGTTCTATATGCGTGGGTATGTGCGTGCGTGTGTGTATCTCTTTCGTACAGGGTTCTCAATTCACTTATCATGTGAAAATCGAGGCTTATTTTTCTTGTTCTTCTTCTTATTGTGTTGTTACATCTTTTATTCTTTTGTCAGTGTTTGCAGCTGATGAGATTTCTTACTAGATTGATTAGTAAAAGGATTATCTATCTATGTAATACTATTATTACTATTGTTCATCTGCATCACATTTCTTATGCATACATGCATACTATATATATATATATATATATATATTGGGGGTATATTGTTTTATTCAACCAATATAATTATTATTTAATTAACTAATTAATTAATTAATTAATTGACTGAATGAAAAAGTAAATTATGGCAGCTGTAATTCTCATCTTCCTATTCGTCCTCCTCTATGTGTCTCTCCGTGTACATCTTCCTATACTCTCTGTACTGTACTGTATTGTAGTGTGTTATGTTGTATTTCAACCCATTTTTGCTGCTGGCTAGTGGTAGTGTTTAAGCCATTTAAAGGAATAAAAGGGAAGTAAAACGTAGAGAGCAGGACAATTATTCCTGTGTACACACTAATCACCACCTGCCCCCCGCCCACGTTTTTTCTTTTGTTCTATGTTGTCATGCTTAACAACAGTATTGTGTATAAAATTGTATAGTATTCATAATAATGATAAGAATATCAGTAGTAGTTGTAGTAGTAGTAGTATTATGAAACTAACACGTTTATTTGCCTTCTATGAATGAATAATAAGTATAATTTCAAGTGTATTTCAAGGTGTGGTTTTATTTTTCTTCTCCTTCAATCCCTCTGCTTTTATTCTTCTCCTACCGTCATTTCATTTCACCTCTCCCCCCCCCAGCCACTTGGTTAACCTACGGTAGTGTTCTTGTTGTTGCCGTCAGCGTTTCATCCTTCCTTCGTCGCCCCTTCATTTCTCTTATTAACTCATATTTTGTGTGTATTTATTTCTCGATTGAAACAAAGAGAGGCACAGTTGGTTTATTTATTGATTGATTTATTCCTTTCGAATTATACCATCATCACCACCAACAACAACAATAACGAGCACAACTGGAAGGCATACATTTTAATCAGCTGATTGATTAACTGTTTACTTGTCTATTACGTAATCATCACTGGTTAAGGAACAAAACAAAAACCAAACCAAAGATGGTGGGTGGTGCATACAACACATCTGATGGGAAAATAAGTATCATCCAGGAGGGAAGACACAGGCAGATAAATTGTTGGCTTCATTATAAACACTTTGAAGACAGCTAACACGGGAATGAATTACTTTCACAATATTATCGTTATTATTGTTATTATTCGTGTAATTTAATGTCATACATTATATGCATAAATTTGGTGTATATGTTAAACAGTAATTGTGTCTACTATCTCACATATGTTACTATTACATACTATATATATATATATATATATATATATATATATATATATATATATTAATATATATATATATACATATACATATATGTAATGAGTATTAATATGATCGTGTACGACAAAGATTTAGTATACTCTATTCACTTGACACTCACACACACACACACACACACATAAAAACGGTGCATTTCTTTATTTTATCGGGTTTTCCCCATCTATCTATCTATCCGTTATAATGTATTTATTCCTCGTCTTTATGAAATAATTAGGTATTTGTTATTGATGTAAGATAACGTTTATAAGAGTTTATTATTATTACTATTACTATTATTATCATTATTATTATTCAGAGTAAACATGAGTACTCAATATTTGACGATTTATATATGCACAAGTACACATTTATACACTATGCACAAATACACTCAATATCTATCTCTGTCTATCTAAACAGATACCAACATACATTTTAATATTGTTGCCTACAGTGTTGGTCTTACTCACTCCCTCCCTCCCTGACTTATTCAAATTTACTTGTACAAGTAAAGTTATGTAAAGCCATTGTGTTTTTAAATGAAATTAACTTCTCTATCTATATATATACATACATACTTGTAAACGATATGAATAGTACTCACAATGATTATGATTAACAATAATAATAATAATAGTTATGGTAATAACTGTAGTTGCAGTAGTACTCGTAGTGCTAGTATGAGTAGTAGTATTCGTAACAATAATAATGCAATGTATTAATTGTGGCACAACTAACCAACATTTTCGATTATTATTTACTCCCGGAAAACAGGGTTGTCATATTGTTATTGATGACGAAAAACAAAACTGACTTATTACGGTTTTATTTCTCTTGATATCTTGATTTTATTTTGGATCTTCTGTCCCTCTCTCTCTCTCTCTCACTGTCTATCTCTCCCTTCGTTCTCAGTTTTTTCAAAGTGTATATGTATCATGAAAGTTTGAGGAAGAAATGTTACACTATAAATATATATATATATACATATGAATATAAAAATATATAAATAATACTTTAAAAAAATTGTATGCTTTCTATTCCCTGAAATTTATCACATTTCGTGGTTGCGGATATATATATACGATAAGATGTTGAATTTTAGTCAGTGTATTATTAAGCCGTAATAGATTCGAGGAAGAGGTTCGTTGGTGTTCAGGCTAAATACTGAAGACTGTTATTTGTAAAGCTAATTAATGTAAGGTTTGATTTACTGAGGTATTCTTAGTTTCAGGATGGCTTCACAATTGCCCATGAGACAATCTTTCATCTCCTTCTTGTAAGATCTCCTCTACGCCACCTTCGAGTTTCCTTAAGCATATTTGATTAGCTGATAGGTTCTTAGTTGGTTCGTTGCCAGAGCTCCACCGTTGGTAATCGCTTTTGGTCATACCCTCTAATCTTCAGTGTCAAGCGGTTGTTGATGAAAGTCCCAAAGCTTGTTGGAAAGGCTTTTCTTGATGTGTCAAAGTCTCTAAACTATATACGAAGAACTGACTGACTTGATATTGGTGTTGAGTGCAGCTGATTTTAGATGAAAGAGTGTCTCTGTGTTGTTTTCCTGATCCTGAATGGCTTCGACACCTTCATCCGTTCTACACCTCCTGCCTGTAGTTGAAATGATGCTTCCTAAATAAGTGAATGAATTGACCTCGTTCAAGTTTCCTCCCAAATGGAAGTGATTGGTGCTTGTTGTTGTTGTTGGTGGTGGTGGTTAGGCATCTTCATCACCTCTGTTTTCTGCTCGTTTACTTGAAGTCGTGCCTTCTTTGCCTGCTTCGTCTGCCAAATTGTTGGCTTTCGCCTGCCTGTAGGTCTTCGAGTTTGTGTTAGTGATATTAGGCATGAATCGTCCATGAAGTTCAGATATTTTAGAGTCATATTCTTATCGTTCGATATGTGCTTGTCTTGTCGTGACGGTCTTCTCTATGGTCTGCCGTGTGATCCAATCCACCACTATCAGGAATATTATCGGCAATAGTAGACAGTCTTGTCTTATTCCTGTCTTCATTTCAAATGCTTTGCTGAGTTTTTCGTTGTGTACCGTCTGACATGTCACGTTGTCATATAGCTGTTGAATAAAGTAAATATAGGTTTGGGGGCATCCTTTATTGTTGAAGCAGCTTCCAAACTGCTTCATTGTCAACGCTATCGAAGGCCTTTTCAAAGTTTATTAAGCTCAGATAGACATTCACCCGCCATTCTATGCTCTGTTTAATGATGATGAAAACACTGACGCGTAGCATTGCAGTTTCATCAGCACATGATTTGTTTTTCCTAAATCCAGCTTATTCCGGGCTGAGTTTGTCATTCAGAGAATCTTGTAATCTCTCCAGGATGACACAGATTAATACCGTATATCGCATATTTTGTTTAGCTGTAGATTTTCTGTAAAACGCATAATTTAATAATGCATAAGATGAATTGTCAACGAATGGCCACAACGTATGCGGTTCAGACTTTCCAATCCCCCTTTCTGAAGCGCAGAGTCAATATAGCTGATTTCTCGGTCGTTTTATAGAAACACATTCCCATTTCCTAGTAGCATAACTTCTCCCTCAGACTCCCGACATATTATTGATGACCTCCACTGTAGTGGCATCCGTTTTTAGTCTGACTGCTATCTACCCAACTTTCCTGGCATGATAGTGTAACGACAGAAGACAAGGGCCAAGCAACAGATTGTTTATTGAGAAAATCAAGA